ACTGTGACCTTATTACTCCAGACGCGGAATTCACTTTCGGCAAACGGCTACCAAGAATTTCCTTGACTGTCAGCTGAAACAAAGCAAGGCTGTCAGGTTTAATGCTCCAAAAAATTCTTGACTGAGATGTTCTTTAACGCGCTAACTTGATACATTCAATTGTAGTCCTCGGTAGGTTTTTAGTTATGCGTATTATTATAGACGACAAATTATATTATATATATTATATATATATTTTAATTTTTGTTACGTCAAATAAAGAATCGTCGGCCAAAAGTTTGAAATCGTTAATGGAAAATGTCTATTATATGAAATAAAATTAAATTTGTGAATTATAACTTATATTACATAGTTTGTAACGACGCGCCCCGAATCATCGCATGTCTATTATATTCGTAAGTGTGTTAGCTGACTTCGTCAAGTCTGTTCCGGAATAAGCTCGATGTTGATGAAGTCTCAAGAGGGATGCTTATCGAATAATTAGCAAAATAAATTGATGCTGACAAAGGAGAAACGATGACAATCGAGGTTTTGTAGTGAATGTCATTTTAATTATTCTAAGGTTCATATTATTTCACTAAAATAATTTAAGCAATGTATAATTGATTATGAAATAATTTGATGCAATGATCTTTTTTTATCTAATTCAACGGACATTCGACTCCTTGATCATTGTATTTGTTTTATATAACTATTATATAATAAATTATATTATAAGTTATTCTAACTAAATTTTGATTAAGACATCACATTTTTTTAATGAAAAAGTAAGAAAGTTTTCGTTGGTATATCGACAAAATAAATGATTATTTATTTCTCTCGATGCAATACAATGATGACGTTGCAATACATTGTCTAAGTTTACGAAATTAATTCGACTAATATTTAAAAACATATAGTTACGGGAATAACTTGGCCATATTATTAGATGTATAACTTAATTCTCGCTTTTTTAATGAAAATATGTTTATTTACAATTTACTTTTTTATTAAAAAGGAATAATCTTTCAATCTTTCAATCTTCTTCAGTCTAATAAGAATTTGCTTCTAAAAGCTATTTTAATTTTTCATCTTCAATTTTGTTTGATTGTTCAAGGCGTTCTTTATCTTGGAGATTGAAATTGCCATCCCGAAACTTTTGAAATCACTTTTTATACATACTATAAAATACAGAATTTTCACCTAAGACCGAGCAAATCATTTTCTTAGCCTCATCGACATTTTTCTTCAATTTAAATGCGAAAAGGAGGTTTTAAATGCTACTTTTCGAATGACATTGCTTTCACTGCTGTGTTTTGAGATTATATTACAGCACTGTCAACTATTATATCTCGTTTCAAAGCTGAAGGATTTAGGAAAGGACGCTTTAAATCAACTATACGGTGGAAAAATAATTTTAATTTGAATAAATGCTGTAACCGATTAAATGTAGGAGTTGAAAATTAAATTATACACTTAATATATTCGTACGGATTTGACGAAGGATATTGGCGATAATCTAGATAAATTATTAATTGGTGAATGAATTTGTAAGCAAAAATTAATGAACACATTTTTGACATTTGCAATTATTTAGGTTACAGATAATTAAACTAATAACAAAAATTAATATAAATATTTCATAATTCGCAGGCTATCCCCCTTCCTATAATTGGCAACGATTTCTACGAACAAGACAATTTATTGGGTCTGTGCATATGGTATCATAATGTCATTCGTTGCTTGCGAGCAGAGATATTTACATAAACCCTTCGTCTCAGCCTCGTTAAATCGATATAAACGTTCGCGATTGAGTTAACGAACCATTGCTGAGTCGTCGAACTTCCAGGATCTCATCATTGAGAACAGGCTCAACGAGACGAGAATATCTTGCGAAATCTATGGAGACTTGCGGAGATTGTTCTAACTAGTATAATAGACAGTTAGCTAATACGAGAGGCTAACACCAAGGCCGTGTCGCTGGATTTCCAGTGACGAAGTTGATTTTGATTAACAAAGAGTGCCACACGTCGACGTCGCCATACGTAAACAATGCTAATTACAAAGAAATTTTGACTCGCTCTTTCCCAACGAACTGTGATAATGTCCACAAGGAGAATCTCAGGGAGAACGGCGAACGACAGAGCATCGTAATTGACGCTCCCGACAATGAAGCCGGATCGGCAAACACGGCGATTGATTAATTTAATCTCCCGGATTAACGTCAGAGGCACGAAACTCACTTTCGGGGATTCACCCTTCTAATTTTTATGTGCTCTGATTGGATGGGCGTTCATGGTTGACACTTCTGGCCCAGAATTGCTCACGTGTTGAAAGGAGGCTGTGAACGATAGTGACACAATTCCGTTGCTATTGCTCTGACTAAAAGAATGAATACGTTCGATAGATCATGTTGTCCATGTTAATGTAGAGTTTTCCCTGTGGCGTTATGCTAAATGAAATTGTACAGCATCTTAAATCCAGTGGGACCTATATCCAAATATATGTAAAAAATCGTGTCTTTGGCGAATATTAAGCTATTAATCAATTATGGTTTGTATAAAAGAGAATTGTTTAAAATTTAAACAAAAAATATTGTGATAAATATAATCACAAAATATAAATATTTTTTTAAATAATAAAATTGGAAAGTGTCGTCAAACTAAAACTATGAAAAGTCCGACATATATTTCTTTCGCATGGCAATTACTCAAATATAACTGATAGTATAAAGAACTCCGTACTAATTATATGGAATATTGGATCCCGATAAAATGAGTTACGTATGATGGAGCTTATAATCTCGCGAACAAAAAGATGTCATAGACATGAGATTCAATAATTGGATAATTTCTGAGTTATGGTGTATCATATATGATACATCACACTTAATGCGAAGTTTCCAAACACTAAAATGTGTCTCATTCAATTTCATTATTTTTTAATTAATTTGAAAAAAAATAATATTCATATAAAAAGTAATTATTTTAACATTAAGAATTTTAGGAACATTAAGATAATCATTTTTTATATCGATACTATTTTCTTTCAAATGAATTGGAAAGGATTAAATGATAGGATTAAATAAGATTTCAAAGGATTTTCGAAACATATTAAAAACTTTGCTTATTCAAATTGTTGAAACAATTAAAAAGCATGAAACAATTAGAAAGTCAACGTTGATTCTTTTTGCGCAAATAATTTTCCATCGTTATATTGTGTCGTTAATTTACATGTATATTTAATTTACAAACGTTTCGACATCTGTCTTGAATTAAAAAATTGTTTAACCATTGTTTTAATTAAATTAACGACATATTGAGTAGAAGCAATAACGATCTACAGAAATAATTAAAATAACTCAAGTGTGGGTGTAATTTGATGTTATGAATTTAACAGTATATAACGTTCGTAGTAACTCTGATCCGCTAAGATTTACGCAATGTATTGTGTAACTAATATTTTTAATACTATAAGAACCGTCGACGACACTATTTTGGCTCTGCTGACGTTAAAAAATTTTATAACTTCTGTAAATTTTTGTACTGTTTAATATTTTCTCTAATGTTTTATTACTTGAAAAATTTCATTTACAAAAAAATTTATTTATTTATTTACGTTTAAAGTTTATTTTTATTTTTATCTCGAATTACTAAAGTTACCAATTTGGCACTTATAACTAAACAAATGGACATGTTCCCTTTGCTTTTAATAAATTGTTATCTAGATCAAAAGAAACACATATTTTTAAATGTTGTCATATGCATTTTTAGAGAGTGAAACAGTTTCTTTGACAAAAATCGGTTTTTCGAAATCCGTTTCTTTGAAACGAATATCATGGAAACTATAAAAAATGGGAAAACTTTTTCAATAAAAGTTGAATGGTTTTAAGAATACTTTATAATAGTAATAATTAAAAAATTGTTTAAAATTTTTTTTAAATAAATAATTGTTTATTAAACAAAAATTTTTTATCATTATTGTAAAACATTCTTAAAACCATTCAACTTTTATTGAAAGTATTTTTTTCATGTCTTATGGTTTCAACGATATTCGCTTCAAAAGTAATCGATTATTTGTCTACCATAGCAGTGAAAAAGAGTGATACTCATGAACAGTGAAACTGCACGAAACTATTGTTAAATTGCAATAAAATTGAATAAAATTTTATTTTGCAGTTATAAAAAATACCAAAAATATGTTAATAAGATCTTACATATAAATAATGCAAATAATATAAAGATAACCAACTTTATTAACCGCAAACAAAAATAACCGACAAATTAGCTTAGAAGAATACTCGGCGGTTCTAATGTTACAATTTTTATGCGGAAAAATTTCTGAAATATAACTGTAAAGCATAAAAGATGCACATAAATTGTAAAATATATGTATAAAATTTAAAAAAAATGTTTAAATATGAACTTTTTTGTGCGCTTGTAATGAAAAAATGTATTTTATAATGAAAGTCGAGGAGATGGACACTCTAGACTGCCCTGTATTTGCTGTTTTAATTTAAAAGTACGCGTTTGTTTCGTGACGTGTGCATTTCAGAATTAATATGACCCATATTCTTTTAATTACATCTTTTAATTGCTAGACTTTTTAATTGCTCCCATAAGATAGTTTGCATCACTATTATAAAATTATCGTGATGCTTATCGGTTATCGTTTACAAAAGTGGAGTTCGTATAGAAATTGGCTATAATAAGATAAGGGGGAGCAGGTGACGTAGTAACTTTGCCCACGACGGTGATGATTTATGTTAAAAGAAGTAAAGAGGTAAAAAGAAAGTGGAATTATAATTCCTTAAATTTAACAAAAAAAATTATGCAAAGCTTTGAATGTAGACTTACGTTCTATTTATATTCTACCGCACACACTCATCAAAAAGACAAGTGACAATTATTATTGTTTCTCTTACGAAAGTGAAACTTTTCCTCCCTTTGGAGTTGAAATAGTCCGCACTGTTTACAGAGCGGTTATAATCTCTATAGAATCAAACATTACGTTTGTTCCAGAGGTGACGATGTACAACGATCGATCGAGCTGTTGGACAAGGTGCTCTCAGAGTACGACGAGCACGACGCAGAGAGCGAAGGTGGCGGCGGTGGCAGCGGTGGTGGTGGTGGTGGCGGCAGCGGTGGCTGCGTCGGGAGCGGAAGTGGCGGAGGCATCGGGGATTGCGGCAGCAGCACGGAACCAAGCATTGGCCTCACGCCCGACGACGAGAGTCCGTCCTTAGGTATCCTTTTTCCCCATTTATCGTCTTTCCCCATTTCTTATTTCCTAGCGGGACTGCCGTTCCCTCCCCTATTTGCTGAACGCAATTAACTAACGTTCGCACGAAAGATGCCACTTGGATTGCTCTTGACGTTTATTATTAATCTTCCCTTTTACCTAAAAGATATTGGTAAAACCGAGAAAAGATGATTATTTTCCTGCTTTGAAATATTATGTACTGATACGAGTTGAGAGAGAGAGAGAGAGAGAGAGAGAGAGAGAGAGAAAGAGAGAGAGAGAGAGAGATATCATAATATGACAAATTAAATTAACGACCAATTTAATTTGTGATATTACTACTCTAGCTTCGGTTTAGAGCTGTGTTTTAAGATAATCGGCGCACTGTGCCATTGCTTGAACTAAAAATTATATAAATTCACAAGAAATATTATTAGAAGAATCGCCTTGGCTAAATATAGCACTTTTCATTCATATGAGTTTAATTTTATCGATCGATTTTCACTTAATATTGTTAATATATTTTCTCAAATTAAATGTTTACCTCCACTGTTTTATTTAAATTAACGACATATTGAGTAAGAACAGTGGCGACATATAAAAATAATTAAAAATAACTCAAATTGAATATAATTTGGCATTATGAATTTAACAGTGTACATTACATAGTTGGAAAATGTGTATTAAATTTAACACATTTTTGAATTCTAAACAGTCCGCCCAAATTTTTATGTTAATTTAACACAAAATAAATGTTAGCAAATAACAAATATTATGTAAAAAAATTAATGCAAAAGTAACACTAATTTAATTTGTAAAAACCTTGCATATATCATATACATTTAATATACAAACCAGTTGAGTTTTGACATTTATGACATCACTCTTATATGTTTATTTAAATATTCTTGTTCGTATCTTCGGATATTACAGGCATCACATCGCATGGTTTCGGAATTCTGCAGTACTGCTAATCACAGAAACTCTCCAGATTTGGAGTTATCACACGTATCTAAATTTTAATCCCAATTATAACAGAAAATAGATTGTAAAAGTCGTATAGCTCTAATTAATTCATTAGCCTTGACATAAATCTTTCAAAACAATTTTAAATTATAAGAGATAATGTAAAATGACAATAACAAATACATAAATTTTAAATTCAAGTTCACATTGTATAAATTTTTAGAAGATTTATTTTAAAGATGTCAGAGGATTTGGTGGTTGTCGTGTTATGATCTATGTTAATGCCAATGTTTCGTGAACCTTGCCGTTCACTTCATTAGAATGAGAAGCGCACTGATATTGAGCTGCAATTTTTTTTTAAGATCCAATGAAATTAGTTAACAATACTTAGGAATGTACCTCTTAATTTGCACAGTAACATAAGAATTAATTCTTGATATTAGGAGTAAACGAAATTGGATAAACGCAAATTATAAATCCAGAATGTATAGCATAAGGGAAAATCTTACAAAAAAACTTCTAAATATAGACACGTAGTCTGCAGCTACATACAGCTTTATTGAAAATGCATATCCGTCCGGAATGCGGCGACAGAAGTGTATGCTTAATCCGTGAATACTGAAAAAACATTTCTTAAATACGAAAAAAAAACACAGATATATGTGAGGCGTGAGTGGAATCAAACCCAGAATCACAAATCACTCTAACCACTCTTCACTCCTCTGAGCTTCTTTGGAGAACTCTCTTTTATGAACCTTATTGAAGGAAAAAGGAAAGGGGGAGGGGAGAAGAGGCACTTCCTTAGCTTATCAGGAGAGCAATCTTCCATATTTTATTTACGTTATAGTTTATGTTCTTGTTTAAGTGATCTGAACGGTTCTGTATTTTTAATTTTTAGAGCCTCCCCGTATTCCTCAGAAAATATGATGTGACATCATTGATGTCATTGTAATTATAGTAGTTGTTTTATCAAATAGTATTTGATGTCCTGTTTGAATGCTGTGTTATTCTGACAATGTTGATAATTGTGTGATATCTTTCAGTCTAATATCCCGTTGATGTTCTTCCAAGCGCACATTAATCGTTCTCCTGGTTTCTTGCAAAATATTTTGTACACTCTTGCGGAACTGGATTGCGGAAAAGTTTTTGGTCTTTAGAATTTTTCAAGATTTTATTGTTCGATCTTCCTTGAGAACTTGAAAATGATCTGGATGTTTGTTCAAAATTTTGCCGATTCAGTCTGTTATTCCTTTTACATATGGGGCAATAAGCTTCTCTTATTTAACTTATCCTGTAGTTGTTGTGTGTTCGAGTCCTTTGCCCTATTCTTATGTTTGCTGATTATTCTGAAGTCTCAAAAGTTAAAAGGTTTCTTTGTCAAAAATCTGATGTGGATTGGATGAGATAATTTAAATATTATTAGTGTCGAATATTCTTCATCGATGCGCCTTATACAGAAACATCTTTCACTCACGAAAGTAAAAAAATATGTTTTTTGTGCAACTTTTAGAACGTTTTTTCCACGCGATTCTGCGTAACCGAACGAATATTTTCGACAAAATTGGCCAATATCTGATGAAACGGAAATCAATATCTCAATTTCTCGAGTACACACATACTAGCAAACTGACATACTTGACGGCGAGAATTAGTTCGGTTCTTTTTTTTCCGGATATTCGTCACGAAACAGATAGAATGTCACGAATCAGAGAAATACCGTGAATTGCGAACTAGTCGAAAAAAATTTCATTTGGCTCATACTTTACATGTTTTGCACTTATTTATACAGATTCTTTACGTATACCAATTTGCAAACTTTACATTACTCGCGGAATGTTAATTAGGGACGATTGCATATCACTTAAGTTATTTTTTATTGTTTTTCTCATTTGGTATTCATTTATACGTAAATTAACGTTGAAAATTGTAGTTTGGTGTTTTAAGTACTTATTACTATACATGCTTTTACTAATAATAAATTAATTTATTATACATTACACATAACGCGCGCGCGCACGCTCTAAATCACGCGACACATTTTTTTTTAAAGTCCGAACTTATATCCATGAAAATGCACAACAATAACATACTCACACCCATACATTTTATTTATTCGTTTAGGAAAAAATGTTAATTTTTGAAGGTTGACAGGAGCAACAAGCCATCTCATTTACACCTCATTTGTGGTGCAACTACATACAAGTATGTGCACTTTATCACCAGACTCCACCATATACTGTTTCAGAAGAAATATTTGATTATAAAACTTGTTTTGGCTTATATTTTCCAAAGCTGCGAAATTTATTAAAGAACCAAATTTTGCAATTTTATTCTTACAAATATTATAATAAATAAAATAATATGTTCCTTATTTACGGTGCAAATACATGTCTTCGTGCTGATATTTTATCTCCTAGAAGTAATATTATGTCATAAAACCTTTTTGCTTTCTTATGTTAAGTAGAATGCTTAATTACAATTCTCAAATTATCAAATGCATTTATCAAAATCAATGTTAAAATTTCAATCCTTTAATCAAATTATGATTTAGCCAAATATTTAAGCTCAATAAATATTATAAGGAAAATTTTTTCTAAAATAAATTAGATCGTTATCAAGTACTCTCCCTAGTAGAATTTTTATTTGTCATTTATTCTTTTGTGTCTCGGCTCTGCTAATTAAAATTCGCACGTGGTCTTGTCCCGGATTAAAAGGATTCAGTTTTTCAATCCAAGAACCGACGATTGTCGATTGACGACTCTTTGAAAATAGAGGCATAGCGTCCTTCCAAAACGTTGATCCATATTTCGGAATCAAGTGCGTTCGATTCGCTTCATTCCCTTTCATGCGGATGCATGCGAAACAAAGCGTCTGCTCGAATGTCTTTCTATTCTTCTTCTTTCTTATTCATTCGATCTCTAAACCAACCCAACATATGATCGGAGTTTGGACGTAACATTTATTTTTGTCTATTAGACTCATTTCCTATAGTAACTTTATATAGTAAATTTCAGACAGTATATACATGTACACATTGCACGTAATATTACAGTAATATTGCAGTATTGTTGCAGTATATATATATTAGAAATATTATATATTATAGTATAATATTACAGAAATATTAATGTATATTACACATTGATAAACAACATTGAAATATTACAGTAATATTGTGACAATATAACATTTTAAATAGCAGAGTGACATTTATGATTATAACAATCACAAATAGCATAATAGTGAATAGAGAAGTTCATAGAGATGAAATAATGCTGAATGACATTAAAATCGTTTTAAGATGCTTCTATGAGCACCAATTGTCAAATTGCTAGTCAATTTAACTTGTGATATTACTGCGGTGTTTCAATGGAGTTTGCGTTTCAAAATCATTTCGGTGCGCAATTTAAAGGACGTATAATATATAAATTCACATTTATACAAGCATTTAAACTCCAACTAGACTGTTAAAAGTCATTTATCTCCTATTGTTTGTATAAATAAAAAAGACAGATTGAAAGAGTCAATAAATAATTGATAAAATCACTTAAAATGTGCATTTAAAAACGCTTTTGGTACAATTGAAAAAAATTTTTTTAAATGTAATTAATAAAATTCTTAAAGAAAGTAGACAGTCTGGAAAATCAAATAAGGTTTTTATACGAGAAGTACGTATAAACAGCTTGTAGAAAACGCATTTTATGAGGAAAACGAGGAGAAAGGATAGGGAGGAAAAGATTATCGTCGAATGCAGCCCCGACTTATCGGATAGCGAATCGTCGGACGTACGAGTCTTTGACTTAACTGACGTTTTCCTCCGTTCTGAGATATATATTTTCCCTTATTTCCATCGAAATGCTCCTACGAACGTACAACATAAACCTGCCGATTTGGCGGTCTGCCATTCAAT